AAAACATGGTCACAGGTTAACAATAATTTTTGATAACAAAGCTTACTTCTTTAATCCTGGATCTTTGAATGCACGCCTTCTGAAAGTTGCATAACTTATTAATGATTAGATAATTTTGAGTGAGATATATTTATCCCAAAATGATAGCGATTCTTAGAGGATCGTAATGTTGTGCGTTACTGCAAAAGAGGCAAATTATTTACCAGGGCTGCCCTCATGAAGCAAGCACTATCTACTAAAATATGTCCGGGGGAATTTCTCTTCCGGTTTTTCCGAGAGAAATAATATCTCAGTCAGTAGACAATTATTTATCAGCGAAATAACAAGTTTAAAAAAAGAAATGAAGGGTGACGTCATTTGCTTGTATTGTGAAATGAGATTCATTTATTTTGGTCGTTTGATTCTATCTTTTTTCTTTAGTGAATCATTTTGCTATAAATTTGAAATACTTCAAAAGAATGCTAGGCTGTCAAAAGCTGTTTATGGTATTTTAAAATGTTTTTTTGTTTTTTTTTTATTATCAATGTACGATCTTAATTTCCAGGTCACAGCAATACAGAGTTAATCAATAACATTTAGAGACCCTTTTTTATTTGCCTGCAGTATTCTAAGGGATAAAAGTTTATTCCTGAGTTATTATTCGTCTCAGAGTTCATTGTTTATCCGTTTGGTGATCCAAATGACTTAGATACCTAGATGAAAACCAAATGCCGGTTCAGGTTGCCAGTGAAAGATCTTATGATAATATCTGGGCACAATTATTTTTCAATTGGAAAAAAAATGATACTCCATTGTTAAAACTCCTATCAACGTAATCATGTGAAATACAAAAGCATTAGAACCAACACAGCTGAAAAACGGAGACAGATCAGCTGACGCCTAACCAAGCTAAGGTTATGAAAAAAAAACCAAGGAAAGCTCATGTCCTGTCAATCGCTTCATAAAGGTCTTACCACCACACTAGTGTTTGCTGTTTACATATAGAGAAAAATTGTGAAGTGATATATTTTTTTTAAAAGAGGTCTTTGTTCGCACCTAAACGTATGCCTTAGTCATCGTTGATATTTGCATCTTTCTTCTTTCTTTTTAATATTTGAAGGTAATAATAGTTAATTATGCATGCTTCTTTCCTTGTTTCATTTCAAACGGTTTTTTTCATACATGGAATTCATCAAGATTTGTCCAAAAGCATCTATGAATTTTTCAGATTATAGAACTCTCACATCTTCGAAATTCTACAAAGCTCGGGAAAATTTAAAAAGTCTTGCTTTACAAATTGTTTTGAAATCCTCGATTTCGCCTCCACAAAACTCCTTCTAGAGCCACCACGAAGACTATAAATTTTTCAGATTAAAGAACCCTCACATCTTCGAAATTCTACAAAGCTCGGGAAACTTTGAAAAATCTTGCTTCACAAATTGTTTTGAAATCCTCGATTTCGCCTCCACAAAACTCCTTCTAGAACCACCACTAAGACTGGATACATCAACAAAAAATATCTTCATCCTAATTAAGAGGTCTTGTATGCTTTGGTCGTTGTTATTGTTTACGGTAATTTAGTGTTAATAACTAAGTTGAAAACGTAAATTGACCACCGTAAAGAGTATGCTAATAGGTTGACGTTTCGAGCGTTAGCCCTTCGTCATTCGCTCTGAAGAAGGGCTAACGTTTGAAACGTCAGCCTTTAAACTCTTTACGGTGGTCAATTTACGTTTTCAACTCAATTGTTAACACTTAATTACCTGTTATACTCTCCCACCGACGCAGCAACACAGTTTCTTTAGAAACTTACCCCCTTTATTCATTTGTTATTGTTTACTGCTCCTTCTTCATTATTAATTTTTGAAGGTAATCATAGTTAATTATGCATACTCCTTTCGAATTCGTTGTTGTAAGTTTAAGCGGTTTTTCCATACATTCCTTTTTTTCTAGACGTAAATGTTTATCAGATCGAAGCATGTATTACAAATTCAAAAAACAACATAATATTTTTTTCAAGTTGGAGATAAAAGAATTCGAATGGAAATGCCGAGATTCTACGATTTCTTTGTCTTTTTTTTTCCCTCATAATACATCCCCATGTGGCCACAGACAGCTAATTGCTGGTTGTGTCTAGGATTTGAGCGCCTATGCTCCGGGATCATTTTCTTCTGAAAGTCCCGGATATTATACGGGCCTGAAACCATATTTTGAGATCTCTATCTAAGGAACAGTATATCGAACTATGCCTCAAAAAATTTTTTATCAGGCTTTATGTCCTGATATATACTTTTTGAATACCAAAACGCATGTTGTTTCGATCTTTATTGCAAACAAATCAAACAAAAAAAAAACTTTACGGCACTGGTAAGTTGTGGGACGTTTAATGAATGAGCCCCTAAAGTGTAAGAAGAACTTTGCCAATGACAACATTTTAAAAGAGGCCAATATTATTTATAGGAGAATTTTAATTTGTTTGTCTAGGTTTTAATTCATACCCTCTGATATTTTTAAGTCTCAAGCATCATCCTTTTTTTTTAAGATTTCAGTGCGAAGAGGTCTAACAAACATGATAGGAAAGACATAAGATTTTAAACGCCTCTAGAGTATCAAAGACAGACCGAAGTATTTTCTGTAAGTGAGGGTTTACGAAGAATACGATATTTAATTCATGATTACTTTTCTTTCCTTTGATTATTGCATATAAATAATCATAGACGCAAAATTATACAAGTGATCTGTTGTTTCAGGGCCTCGTCAAGAGCTTTAAGTGCATGTTTGGTGTTTCGCGGAATTTTCTGGATACATAAAATAATTTGTTTTATGCATGTAGAGGACTGGTGTAAGCTGCATATTTTGCGAGTGTAAATGACACCATTACCTGTGTTGTTTTCTTTGTACATTGCAAAAAATAAGGATGTTATGAATATGATGAAATATGCATCACGACATCGCCTTCGATTTTTAAAAATAGCCTTAGTCAGTTCATTAGAATAGCCGATTAGGCCTTGAAAAACAGGCATAGAAACTCGTTCATTATTAAAATCTGTATCAAAAGCCTCCTTCTAGAACGTATGAACATCGTAAATAGAGAAAAGTAGCAAACGTCTTCAGCTGTTTCCTTCATTATGTCGCCAAAGTAGGCGTTAAAGACTTCTCTTAAGTGCTTGTTAACAAGAGAACGCAATTTAAATTACTCATTAGCAAATGCTTTGCGCTAATATGTCCTCCACCAACCAAAGAATCGTTGAATAATAGACGTTTGTTCATTAATTTTGTATTTGTAGATTATGCACTGGATAACAGTGTGATGAAAAGGCTTAATCGTGTTGATAACAACTAGACGCGTTAGGAGACGAATGATTTCAAGAAATCTGTTTTTATTGAGGTTCTGAAGAGAAAACGGAAACCGGCTAAAAGGCAAAGAGATCGACTGCTACAATATTTCACTGACTGTAAGCATTTGTGAAAAGTCCCCCTCGACCGAGGCATAAGTGACTGGGAAGATTAGTTTCTTTGAAGGTGAGTTCGCCAGTCTGCGCGAATTATAGTTTTTATGTGATACTAACAGAGCGGCATGCTCTACTCAATAATTTTCAGCAACTCCTTGCTGCCACTAGAGGCACCATGCACCCTCCATCACTCCACTGTGGCAATATCATTTAATTTGACTGTGGCCAACTACTAGTATCAATATGAAAAACAAGTCAATTCAAATACTGTGGGATTTTTGGGCCCTCGCGTAGTATTCTCAGAGACATCTCATTGATGTTAATCTTTAAGACAAAATCAGTTTTGTCGTATCCTGCTGTATCTGCCCCGTCGTTTACAGATTCGATAAACGAAACGAAACTTCCACCTCGTTTTCGAATAGAGTCAACTTGCACAGTGCCGTAAAGTTTATACAATCAGCTGTTTTCGCTTGACGTCTTTCATCTCGGTCGTACTATTCATTTTAGAAGACTTTCAAAATTCAAGATCTGCCGTTCACTTAAAAGTATTTGTTGCTTAGCAATAGATGACTAAGGATCACGCGAAAGATTGTAATTTCCGATGGTAATAGGTGAGCTTGAACAGATTTGAAATATTGTGCAACAACCTGTTGAAATTATTTCACCAAAAAATATATTTTTTGGAAGGCGTTGTATTCTAATATCCTAGTTGTTTTAGAAACCTTGCAAATGAGTTTGCAAATAAAAATTCACAAACATCATTTTAAGCCCCTTTAAGGCGAGTCATTAATTTGTCTGACTGTGACATTGTTTAGTCTACATCTAGTTACTGAGGAACGTTCTCGATGGTTTGCTATAGTTTACACCGAAGTAAACTGACGAGCCAAATTAAAGAGAGAGGAGATGAACAAATAAGAACTGAGACACAGTTTACCTTTCGTTTAAATCAATATATACGATTCTCCTAAAAAATTATTTTTACACCGAGATAATATGACAGGCCATGTTAGGGAGAAAGGAGATATAAAGTTAAGAAGTGAGACACAGGTTACCTTCGTGTTCATAACTATATACGATTCTCCTAAAAATTTATTTTATTTAAGAATCTTAAATAAATTCAAACTAAAACGTTTTTGAAACTGTTGTTATGAGAAAATTTCTGGAATGAATTTAGCCTGGTTATGAAGGATCCAACAACTTAACTTATCTCAATGGTACAGCTTATGAAAAACCTCCCTCAGATTTTCCATTTTAAAAATGATTTTTACAAATGCACTTTATCTAACTAAACCTAAAAGTTCATCCCCTTAGGCCTATTGAACACTCGTGAGAAAATAATTGCATTATCCCTCGTTAACGTACGCCAGACTATGTTGCCGTGACGACCCAGACAATAACACCCACGCACCACGTGATCACAATCATCAGCATTCGGTCCAAAGGTTTTTTTTTGCCGATTAGATAAGATCTACATGTTACTTCTAAACAAGTCATACACATCCCTCCCAACTGTGGATAAATATCATCTAACTTTTTCTTCACCTTTCCCATTATCTTGAAGAATCTTAGTGTAATATCAAACATGGCTGTTTTAAAATCAAGCTGGAAGAGGTTCATTTCATGCTTGGTCGCGGGATTGTGTTTAAGTGTCGCCCACTCGAATGCAAGGTGAGAAAAGACTCAATATATTTTTTCATATGTCTATGTTTCCAAGCATTCAGCCTCATGAAATAATAATAATAATAATAATAATTTAGTACTTATATAGCGCAAAATACATGTGGATATGATCTAGTGCGCTATAACCCTTTCTGTCGCCAGAAAACGTATTTCAATAGTAAATAAATAGGTAAAAACAACCACAAACTTATTAGAAGCAAACTTATTTGTTTTTTCCTTTATCTACTTATCTGTCTTGAAAACGAATTCCACGTTTTTGACATGCTACAGCAAAATAAAGTTGGTGCTACTGAAATAAAGAAGTCATTTTAAACAGAAAGTAACATTTGAACGCATATATATCTAATATATCGCGTAAATTGAAACGATTTTTACAATGTAATACTATAATACTGCACTATCAGTCTACTTTAAATTGTTTGTGGCTTTTTCCACAGAGTTTGACTTATTACCTCTTTATTCAGATGTTACCATTAATTTTCGGTTTCTACCATTTTGTTTCGATTTTTTAGTTAGTTAAGCGGGGAACAATGGCAGCGTTTCAAATAAGTTTTAATGATGCACATACTAAAAACATGTCGAGTACATTTGCCCCGTCAAAATTTGCATTTTACCATTTTTCCCGCCATGTAAGTTTATCTTTAGACGTAATTTTACTTCAAAATCGTATGGAGTGTGTTGATAAGTGTTGGTATTACGGTCAGCTTCTAGAAAATTTTATGTTTTATCAAGTTTTCTGGCCACGTTAGTTGTATCGTTCCTCAGTAGATTAAGATTTAGTTTATAAGTTATGATTAATGTTTTATAAGCTCTTCTTTTACTTTGTCGTTATGTCGTTCTAGAATTCTCAATCTCGGAGCGATGAAGTTGTAATAGCCCAGCTTAGCGGTAGCCTTCTCAACTCTCGTGCTACCGTTTTTCAAAGATGTACAAATTATCATTAGGTTTTCAGTTTCTATTAAAGTTGGTGTCTCTTAGAATAAATCAACCCCAGGTTGTTGACGCAATAATTCTAAACAGATTGAAAATTTAAGTGAAAAACACCTGAACTCATTATTTTAAAATGTAAATATTTTTAGACGCACGGCAGATGATATGACAGCCCTTCTAAACAAACTCATAAAAGGCTATGACAAAAGACTTCGGCCAAACTTTGGAGGTAAGCAAGGCAGCTTTGAATTATGCTCTGATGAATTAGCAGACAGCTCTTAATTCATCGGCTATATATCTGACTATGCCGTTAACACGACCTCATTTTTATTTCATGGCTCAATTGTGATCTTACTGTAACTTTCAATTGTTTTAGATATTCATTTTAAAGTTCTGAGAAGTTCTTATTTTAACCACTTGCATTAACGTTTCAAGGAAACAAGAGAGGTCTAACGAGCTCGCTAGATATTACTTCGAGTCATTAATTACTGAAACACAGGTTTGCTTGAATGCTCACATTAAATAAGTTGATTTTTTTAAGCCTTCTTTTCTGATAAGAGCACACTCGGTCATCTTGTGGATTGAAAAAAGAAATACAAAACCAGACAATTATTTGCAATTAAAGAATGGAACTTAAATGCATAATTCGCCGATAGTTAATTCATTTTTATTACATGGACTTTCTTTTATTTTTACTTTCTGCCCTGACCTTCTTCATCAATTACAAGAAGGTAAGAAGGTGTATTCAAATTTGTTGTGGCAGTTATGAAAGCCGGACGAAATAAAAGCTGGAAGCAGCCACGCTGCAGATTAGATTAGTAGCTCCCTAACCGAACGCGGTTTTTTTAATCTTATTTTTCATCTAAATTTCTCATTTGCATAGTGACTGTATAAATAAACGGGATATTTCTATTTTTGTTATTTCGTTCCACGTGACTGGAATTTTGTTGAAACTTTTTCACTGTCTAGTTAGTAAAAAATGATTTAGCTTCATAACCATGACACTTAATAAAATATTTAAGATAGTATGCGCGCTCTCATAGGCGTGTTTACATTAGAGTATATAAACAAGGCTGTGGCGTCAAGCCTCGTTACTTTTGAGAAATATGTTACAATAGCATGGTGGAACTTTTTCCGTGTTTACATAGCCACGTCTAGACAACCAGAGGCTTTGGCAAAATCTCAAAGTTTTCATAGAAACCCTCAACTTCGTTACGGAGGGTTTGCAGAACGTTTTCGAGTTCTCTCAACGCCCTCGTGTTGAGATGAGGTTATGTTAACACAGAAAAGTCCTCTATGGTTAAATATTAGCCATGAGTCTAAATAATTTCTTTTCTACTTTAAAAAAGCTTTAAAGTGAAATGTATTAGGTAGAGTCGTGGTGACTCTTTAAGTTGCAAATCATTTCCGTTATTCTCCTGACCTTAATGTTTTATTTAGTGGTACTGCTGTGAACAGTAATTAGATGCTAGTAATTCTGAGAGTTTAGGGTGCTTTTCGATTGAGTGTTGGAAAAATATCAACAAATTAATCACAACGGCCAATCAGGAGGTTAAAGCCAATGAGAACTGCCTAATACGCGGGAAAAAGTCCTAATTGGTTTCAGTTTTCCATCTAATTGGTTGAGAGAGTGGTGCGAATTTTCTGCACCAATCACAGTGCGAAGTAGAGCAAAACAAAGCAATCCCTGCTTACTTTTAACTTTCAACTGAAAATTGCTTTAGCTAATGGCACCGTTAATTTTAAACTCACCAACCAAAAGAGACTTTCCATTAAACTATTCAGTCACAAAAGATTTTTAGTGAGAGCTATATGCTTTTTGTCAAACATTATTTTATGTATCATATCATTGTCAGGTGAACCAGTTGTAATCACCGTTGGATTGTGGGTATTATCCATCGACTCCATCAACGTTGTTGACATGGTAGGATGGATCTCATTGTATAAATTTTATTGTAAGAGCAATATCTCGGTTTCAAAGTTATTTTGCAATCTTTGTTACCCCTTATAGGATATACGCTACGACCTTCAAATTTATCGGGTTTTAAACCATCTTCATTAATTACTTATGCCGCTCATTGTCTGGCGTGGTCAAGTTATGGGAAAAGATTGTGGCTGAGGTAACGAGCAGCTTGGTGGGAAAGCGTTAGCTGCAAATGCAAAGGGTAGGCGGGAGGGTCGAAAATTCCTGGAAAGTTACTGACTTGGTATTTTTTTTTTTTTGAAATGCCCAAAATCGAAGCAGCAGGGTCATCCAGAGATATTGCACGTGAAAACTTAGCATAATGTTTCGTAATTACCTTCCAACGAACAGGGTTACGTATTCCATGCCCTTCAGACTTCCTCGGCATATTTATGAATGATAATTGTTTCCAGGTACTCATTTATACACCTGTGTGGAGAGAGCTACCGTAATAGAAGCAATAGTAGTCGTAGACTTAATTTATTGAGGGTTACATTTTACAGTAATAAAACTGATGAACTCATGTCCCTTAAAATAATTGAAAGTCGAAATAAGATGATTATCGAAAAAGTAACGAGAGAAAGATTTAAATAGAATATGACTATGAACATCGAAGAATACAAAAATAGTAACAGAAATAATTTTATTCCTTATGTGATTATTAAGAAATAACTTAAAATCAATTTATCTAGATGATTGCATGCGAATTTGATTATTTCAAATTGATTTAGAAGGTAAAGGCTTAAAATGGTTATCACTAGAACTCCGTTTGAGTTTCGCATTGGGCATGATCCATTCCTTTATTGTGGGAATAGAATGTCTTGCCAAAAAATTGCGATGGCCCCGTCTTGAGAGGAAACACGGATCAAGCTCAGCATTCTTTTTGCTTGGCCTCCATTTCTTCCACCGAATTAATTTGATCTGAAGGATGCATCATTACTTGGATCTTTAGCCCCTGTCTTTTACTTTTCAAGGATTATAAACTGGACTTCTTCTTAAGACAGCTATGGACAGATCCACGATTACGCCACGACTGGAATGAAACACTGGCACTTGGTAATACTATGATGGATAAACTCTGGGTTCCAGACACTTACTTTGAAAATTCCAAAAGTTCAAAATTCCACAAAGTTACCATGGTCAATAAGTTGTTATCCATATCGCCAGATGGGGGAGTCCATTACAATGCAAGGTAAACTGCAAAGTTGTCATACTTTACTTTGTTGGATCTGACTTGAAGCTATCGATGATCGATAGATGGCATCATTGTGGTCCTCTGGATCTTATTTTTAGAGTTTTGAACTATTTTGTACACGAGGACACTACATTCAAAAGACTGAAAAGTCTCTGACTTACAGGAAAAGCTTAATTTCGCCTTCTCGGAGACCTGTATTAGCCATTCGTCGATCAAAGAATCTGTCCAGGCTTGTGAAGAAATCTTGAAGTCGGCGAGCTATTAAACCAACAAAAGTCTTACGCCTTAAAAAAAACAGATTTCTTAGATTCAAATTCTTTTCTAATGATAGATAAGGACGGAGGAAATGTGCTCCGAATCCCTGAGACAAAGAGCAAGTGGACTGACCAGAATTTTAAACTTTTATCACGCGTTTGTGTCTTCCATGATTAAATTTACGCGCTTAAAACAATCGAAAATATGGGCGTGAGCAGTATGCATGATTCGTTCTGCGAAGTAGCTATTGTACATGCAGAGAGTATTTGGATCACAGAAACGTATTCATTTGACGTCCTCCTCAAAGTTTTTTTCATTTGGTTTTCAGAGTCACTGTGCGAGCAAGCTGTCCAATGGACCTGCGGCTATTTCCATTTGATCAACAACATTGTAATTTAAACATCGAGAGCTGTAAGTATGTGTTTTCGTTTACAAGTAAGGTTCTCGAACATCTATTCGACTTCAAAATACCAGCATCTTTCCCAAAAAATTATTTTCAGTCGATCTTTAATACCTCTTACAAAAAGCGTTCAAATGTATCTTGCCAAATGTGCCTTTCTTAAAAGGTATCAGTAACACATAAATTATCCCTGGTAAGGAGGCCGCTTTCAATTTAACTCAGGAGCCGTTATTGCAATGAAGGCTCTTGTCTTGACATCTGCTAAAACGTTGGGGCACCGAGTATCTTATCGGTTGGGAGTGTGCTTTTTGTTTTGTTATAAGCATCTTATGTTGTTGTAATATTTCAGATGGCTATAATGCTAATAACATGCAATACCGGTGGGAGAATCGAACGGACAAAGGAGTAGCAGTCAATAAAAAGCTTGATGATATGCCCCAGTATAACTTAACCGGCGCCTCGACCAAAAGTTATTTCACAGTTTATTACTCAGGTGGGTAGACTTTGATCATTCAGAAAACTTTAAACTATGATGCTATGCTGTTCAGAGGAAGGGATTATAATAATTATGAGAACAACTCTTTACAGCACTACATTTCTCCATGTTTTGTTTGCCATGAGGAATGTGTAATTGTTCTCGTTTTGTCGCTGTATCCACACATAGCCTGGCGAAAGAAAGCTGGAACGAATTTCGCTCTCAAGCATAATGGCCATGCAGACCTTAGTGTAAGCAAGCTGCAGCTGGTTTAAGTTTTGTGTCTTCTGACTATATCAAGCAATTTTCAATTCAGAGTCGAAAGTAATACCGAGCTTACTCGAAACCTCATGGTTCCCCTATTCTCCAGGCTTCAGCATTGATCAAACGACGCTCAGTTTCAAAATTGCCCATTTGTTAAAAATATATAATGAATATATTCTCTTTATTTCACTATAAGACCTTTTTCCTCTTTCTTCTTCGTTGTTGTTATTATTGCTTTGGTTTTGCTTTACTCCGCCATGTGATTGGCTCAGAAAACTTGCGTCGCTTTCTTTACTATTCAGACTAAAAATCCCAAATTGGTCATCCGTATTTTTCTACGCGATAAGCGTTGCTTGTTTTAACTTTTCGGTCTCATGGAATCCTTTTGATATCTTTCTCTGCTCTTATTGACTATTCTAATGAATTTTTATGTGGTTCTACGACTCTCTAATAGCTTCAGTATGAAGTAAATAAGTTTCCAGGCAATCAACGTTGTTACTCTGAGCATTTCTCACCATGTGTTCTTTTTCACCAGGAAATTGGTCCCGACTGGGCGCTTCATTTGGTTTTGTCAGAAGATCAGGATATTTTCTTATTCATATATATGCTCCTTGTGCACTCATTGTTATTTTATCTTGGATATCATTTTGTATCCCTCCTGATGCAACTGCTGCTCGCATTGCCCTAGGAATAACTTCCGTGTTAACTATCACGACGATATTAAATATGCTGAATACAGCTATGCCAAAGGTTAGAAGCTGCTGAATATTTACTGAATATGTAACAAAAAATGCCAGAGACAGAAAGACAGAAGACAAACAAAGAAAAAGACAAACAGGCAGACAAATATAATTTATTTTTGTTTTCCCGTTATCATATTCCCACTAATAACGTAACTCTATTTTCCCCATATAAACACGCATACAACCCACAATTCCTCTATTCGCTCTGACGAAGGGCTAACGCTCGAAACGGAAGTTTGTATCAACTCAGTTGATAACATTAAATTATCCAGACAGGTAGACATGACAACTATTGGTGTCTTTACTTTCGGTCCATCTTCTATGTTTATGTATGTAATTATCATCATGAATATGAGCAGAATGACATGATGATTAATTTTCTATCGTCACGTAAACGTTCATGAGTAAGGCTGTGACAGATACATCGTTGGAAATGAAGGCAAATACATATGAATCTTACCTATAGATGAAATAATCACATTTCAGAATGAGAGGCTGAGTTACGAAATGATGTACAGAAATGATTGCTAACGATATCATGAAGAGTATTATAGTGTCAAATTTAAGAGCAAATGCGAAAAAATATGACTTCTGTCTGATTAGGTATAGTAGTAGAAATCATGATAGCTTATGAATAAAGTGTTATCATTAGATATATTTTGTGTGATCCAACTGTTATTTTTTTCAGGTTTCGTATGTCAAAGCAATAGACTGGTATCTCATTGGCAGCTTTCTGTTTGTGTTTGGTGTGTTAGTTGAGTACACATTCGTTCTTTGGATCGTGAACGTTCACAATAAGAGACTAAGAAGGCTGATGATTGAGCAGGAGATCCAGGAAGCGGTAATCAGAGACATTTAGACAAAATATATTACTCCTTAAAATGAGAATTATAACGTACTCCACTATCGAACAAAGGGGGTATGTTTCTAAAGAAACTGTGGTGCTGCGTCGGTGGTATGGTATAGCAGAGTAATTTGGTATTGTCAACTGACTTGATAACGTAAATTGGCCACCGTTAAGAGTTTCAAAGCTAAGCTATGTACTGGAGCTCCTAACGGTGGCCAAGTTGTGTTATCTACTCAGCTGATAATAGCAAAGTACTCCTTTTTTGCTTTTAAGGTTCAGTTTGTAGATTTGTCTTTGACATGGGGCTTTATCCTCAAGCACAATTTCCTTTATTGCAATTAATGGTACCAGATCAATTCGTCTTTTGCTGTCTACAAGTTTAACAAGTTTAACATTATTTAATTGTAGATAATTTTTGTTCAAATTTTCCGCGTTCCATGATCAAATTTTCAATTTTTTCAATGAAGCACTAATAAGTCAAGTTGTACTTATCAATTTTCTCTATAGCAAACAAAATGAAGATCAATTTAATCCTTCACTCACTGATTATCCTATGCCCGAATGACAGAACCTGGTTATGTAAACGTATCAAGGAGTCTAGCTAATGTTTAATTTAAGAACAATTTTGAATTATCTTTTGCACTTAAAGAACACAGCCGTGGTCTTTTTAAAAAACGCTAACGAAACAAATAGTCAAGAATTTGAGGATTACAGGAGCGGTTCCTGCTGTGGGCCAAAAACACTAAATGAGGATTCTTTCATGAAGCACTACTAAGTCAGGTTGTACATAAAAGAATACTAAAGGCAAGTTTTTAAAGAAAATTTGATGCTTTGTCGGCGGAGAGTATCACAAGATAATTCGATGTTATTGATTGAATTGATCACGTAAATTGGCCACTATAGAGAATTTTTAAAGCCGGTTGAGGTCTCGAGCGTTAGCCCTTCGTTAGAACGAATGACGAAAGGGTAACGCTCGAAACATCATCTTTAGTAACTCTTTACTTTGGCCTTTTTATCAACTCAGCTGATGAAACAAATTATCTTATACTTTAAAGAGCGTTCATCTCAGAACTAGTTCCAAAGTGGTCAAATCCAATAGATTAAGTTTACAAAATGCTGAATATAGATTCCCTGATAGCTGAGGATATTTTTCATGAAAACGATTCTGTGTGTTATTGCTCTATAGGAGGAAGAGAAGCAACATAGCTCGCGGAAGCATGGGATGAATGGTAGCGTCACAAGCAAAAATACTCGTGAGAGCCATGGTTATGATTACGAACTTTTTGAGGTAAACCAACTGCATTCGTTCTTGAGGCGAATCTTCCCATCAAGTTTCGTCGTAACTCCTTAAACGCGATTTTTCATTTGATTGTTAAAGGGTTCAACATTGTAATTACGATTTTGCTGTATAAGATACAAGTATCCAATAGAATATTCTCCTAGTTTTTGTGCGTTTTTGGTTTTTGTTATTTGATTAAGAGCGTTTATTTGGATATGATTTTCCACTGAATTAGACATGCATGGAAAAAAGTACACTTCCAAACACAATTTCGTTAGTACTTTCTAAGTTTTAAAAGTCCTCCTCACTTTGTTATCATTGGCTGTTGTGCTACTGTTTTGGAACTGGCTCGGATTTAGTTTCCTTAGTACAAGTAGTCAACAATTAGTTAGCCTTTTCCCCAGTGGCACAAGCACTTTTGTTTGTCTGCCGTTCCTCACACAGACCAATTGATAACTACAAATCTTGTTCAAGTTGGAGAAGGAACGTGCCCTAAACACTTTCCCCGCGAAAGTTAGCGGAGAAGTCACGAATCTTAAAAGGAACTCCAACAGAAGTTATAATCTTCCTTTCTGAGTAAGTTCTTTCTTCCTTTAGAGTTATAGTGCATTCAGCGACAAAGCTAAGAAACCCAGCTCACATCTGTGTGACAGATCAAAGGCAAAGCGACATGCTTCCTCCGAAATGGAGCACAGACCGCTGACCTATCCCAGAACTCCACATTGCAGGGCAAGAACAGTTTGTCTCGACCTCATTGATCCGGATTGCATTGATGACTATGCCAGGCTGTTCTTTCCCATCATGTTCATCCTTTTTAATGTGACATATTGGCTTAAGTTTGTTGTGCTGTAAGATAAGACCTAGGAGAAACATCAAAGGAAATTCTTTTTATTTTTCTATCGAAAAATCTAGCAGAAAGCCAAGGACGTCTCCTAAGAGATGGAAGAACATCTAACACTATTAGACTCCCGGATTGGACATAATTCATATGTCAAGGGATTTTTTATGGCTGTTTCTTTTGGGGCAATGCAGCAAACATGTATCAACATGATCGGAAAATATAAGATTGGTGCGAGTTCGCAAAATGTTTGAAAATAATCAGTGATCACATACATAAATTTTAAAGGAGATATTAATTTTGTGCAAGAAATTCTTGCTCAGATCATGTCTTTGCTGACCTTTGGTAAGGACTACGTAATAAGGACCTTTGAAATACAGTTACCTTATTGAGAGTCCCCATCTAATCTTTCAAACGACAGAGCACATGTAACCTCTTTTACCGTTGTCATTATCCTCCCAAATTGGTAAAAATCTTAATCTATTCAGTTGCTATAACGTACACTATGTTTTATATTTTCAGTACTGTTCATTTGCATGACTGAAGTAAGAGTGTAGGGAAGTGAGATGCATGACGCATGATACAATCTATAGGCGATGATGATAATGATGAACTTTGAATAACTTTGGTATAGATATAATGAGGAACCTTTCTATATCTCAGTCTGACACTTCTTTTTTTAAAAGGCAGAATCTTGCAAGTTGAAATGTTTTTCTTACTGCCACGGTTTTTTCCCTAAAAATCACTAAATAGGCAAGCAACTATTACCGAAATAATACTGATAAAGCAAGCATGAAATGTAAGTAACTTAGAACAAGCAGCCTCTGGTATTAGATTAGCATTTAAGTGAGAGCGACGTTTGTTGAAGACTTGCGAAAAAAATTACAAAGATAGCAACTATAGCGTGCTCGTTATGGTAATATGACATCTTTCATCTCGTAGATTATGTTATTTTCTTGATCTCAGCGGCGAAATGTTCTTCCTCGGGATAAGGTAGTGCTAGCGATTGCGTATCTTAACACCAGAATTAAAGAAATCAGCCAATAAAAAAATAGGAGAAAATCGCGAGGAACCAAAATAATTGACATGCAAGCTGCATAAAGCGCGGGAAACGAACGAGTACGTCGCAAGTGTTTCCAGTTTTGCCTCTGTTCTGGTCACTCAACTGCTCAGTAATGCAATGTAACTTAGTATAAGATGAAACATTGAACTGATCGTGGCTGAGGGTCAATAGGTTAAGCTGTTCCATGTTTTCCATCCACGTATAAAGCATGAATTTAAAACATATTTTGAACTCAGTAAAATTTATGTCAATTTCGCAACGCCAATTAGGCCACAACTTGCATAAGCACTGAGCGAGACTTTTATAAGGTAAAAATTATCAGTAGTGTAGATGTATGCTATTTTAGTGAGGACCAAATAGTTTACTTATACTTAACTTAGAAGGAAGTTGGTAAAATATCAATAAATTAAATAACAAAAACAAAAGCAGCTCGCTGCCTGTTTGATATGGATATGGCGGAATCCAGCTGTAGTGCAGTATGTAGAACCTTCTATATGTTACAATATTTTTATCCCGAAAAATTGCACTCAAGGAGACAATATTTTTCAGTTAAAGGAAGTTCAGATCGTTATTAGCGTATTTCTTTTTTCAGAGACGGAACGGGTAAAGGAAGACTGGTATTTTACAAAATTAGGTGCAGCCTCAGTCCGAGCTACTGAAAAAACTAACTATATTTTTTTTCAGCCTCTGCACCCATTTAGTGTTCCCTTACCCTCGAAACTTTTTATCATATGGTTTCTTTGTACCAAAAACTAATTTCATACAACCGACATATAATGTGATCACATTCCGTGCCATTTTCTTGCGTTGTTAGTGAAAAACATGTCATTAGTACGGAACAGAGAGAAATTTTAGGTAAGAGACAGATCCAGTTTAGCGTACTCACTGTGATTGATCTGTTTTCTTGCCTTATCAATTTCAATTTTGTCGCCATTCAGCACCTTACAATTTTCTCTCCGCTCCCCAGGTGCAACGATATATCTCGCAGTCTAACTTTTATTACGCAGAGTTTACCTCTTTTTGGCCCTACTTCTCTGACGATAAAAGCTAAATGCCAAACAGTTTGCAATCGTTGACAAGGATATTTTTAGACATATGGACGTCACGCAACATTATACGTGGAGTGGAATATTACGAGACAAAACCGGCTATGACTTACTTGTACTTCGACGAACTATCATAACAAAAGTGCTTTAAATTTAGAGTTAAAAGCATCCTGTTCTGTTCATGAAGTTAAGCTAAAGGGAATGTTGCTACGTCAGTGAGCACAAAAGGAACCACGTTCGCATGAATCAAATTTCAGGACACCTTCCCCTTCAGCAATAGCGGAGATTTCGACCTTTATGAAATAATTACTAGGGCGTATGATCTTCAAAATTTAGAAAGCCACCAGACAAGACAGTACAGTGAAGAAGGAAAAGCAGAAGTGACTTTAAGTCTTGACTCCACGTATCATGACAGCAAGAAAAATGGTGCGATACAACTGGGATTTTACTGCACATTAGCAAGAGATTTTCATTATTGCAATTTTCACTGATATCAGATGACATTTGAATATTTTTCTCATCATTCCTAAAGGGCTCAATTTTGTTCCTGTTTTTGGTCTCCATCGCATGTTTATGCCATCAGACATCTTCCTATCGTGGTAAGTGAAATCAAATTGGTTTCTGTCCATAAACATTTGACTTTACCTTGTAGCAACTAACAATAACACAGACTGCTTTACTTAAAAAATGATGTTTCGCGTTGTTAAAATGATAAGAACTTCTAAGGTTGACGGTTTGAAAGCTTCCCTTGGTAAAAAAAAAAAAAAAAAAGGCTTGACTGGTGGCCATAAAACGGCCAAAAATTAAGCCGTTAGGCGTAAAAGTTCACAACTTTCAATTGCTAGTCATGAAAAGTTAACCGTAAAAATGTTTTATATCTGTTATGTGATAAAATATTAGACTGTTTCATGTATATTATGTGCAGTCCAATTCTCATAGTATCGCTATCACTCTTACAAAATTTTTTTTAATCCCGGAATGGACTTGACCATCTGGCTGTAACTGTGTTTTAGATCCCCCTCCTCATTGAAACCCTCTTTCACTCGTCAAGTGCTGCAAATAAGAAAAATTATTATACACTAATCTTCGTAAAATCCAGGGAGATATGTTTTTGGTGTGAATATTTGACTGTACTCTCATTTTTTTTTTATCATTTGGCCTGGTTTATGATCGCAACAAAATGACTTTGGCATGACGGCAAACTATTTATTTTCACTGTCATATGACATGTGTTATACTGATTCCTTTCAGTCAAGAATCCTTTTATTCTTTGGCAAAATTAATTTTTTCAAAGTTGGAGTGAAAAGCTTATTCTGGTGACTGAAATGCTCCTTTTCCATTTGTTTATCGCCACAGGATGTCTTCTAATTCTTCTTGTATTCATTCATTTATTCGTTCATAAGTTTGATTATTGGCAGAAACTTGGCTAACTGATTGCACTGCAGAGCTCGTAAATATCACAGGATACAATTTTGTCTCCAACCATCGTAAATCGAAAACAGTCGGCGGAGCTGGAATTTATTTACAGAACCGCCTTGAATACAAACTTCTCGAAGAATGCAAATTTTCAGATCCAGATGTAATTGAGTCACTTTTCTTGGAAATTATTGTTCCCCACGGAAACAATATTATTGTTGGTTGCGTGTAAAGACCACCAAATCAAAACACTGCTATGTTTATTGACAAATTCAGCAATATTCTCTCACAAATTTCTAAAGACAATAAACACTGTTATGTGGTGGGAGACTTTAACCTAGACCTTCTCCAATACAATCATCATGTTTCAACACAGGAATTTATTGACAGCTTATTTTCACACGCCTTTCTTCCTCTCATCTCCAATCCAACACGCCTCACCTCATACTCTGCGACGCTAATTGACAACATATTCACCAACAACCTTGCCCAGAGTGTTTTTAGTGGCATTATTTATCTGACCACTTACCCGTTTTTGCATATTTTGACGACGCAACTCTAACGCGCAGCACAGAAAGAAAAATTGTGATGCGCACATTCAATGACGATAATAAATTTTTTGTATTGTGTAAATAAGGCAAATAAAAGATGATGATGATGATATTTAGGTATTAATCACATTTTCCTACTTCTTTCGCTTAACATTATAACTATTATTTTTACTATTATTATCATCTTTATCAATGTTTCTTTTAATGTTATCACGATTATGGGTATGATTACATTTATCATTATCAACCCCGTTTGTGTAAAAATTTTTTCCTTTTTCTTTTTTGTAGTTGTCCAAGCTTTTTCTATATGTCGACCAGACTCTTTACGTCGGAATTCCAGTTGCGGACCTAAGGATTGGGTCTTTAAATGCAAATATCAATCACCCCACACCCGAGAGGTCTCTTTAAGATGCCGCGGTGGTAAATGTTCAGGCGGTATTAGTCTTTTTGACCCAAGCAGAGTTTGCTGTGAATTCACATGTCCATGAGAACTTTCCTCTTTGAAATGATTTCAGATTAATGCTAATTTTTATTGTTTACATCTTATTGTAAATTGATTTTGTAAAATTGATTTTGTACAATCAATATTAACTGTAGAAAGACCCAAATGTGCAATAAAATGCTTTGTAAAGCCATAAGAAGTTCTTGACTCTTTCAACTCAGGTTGTAATGAGCATGTAGTTTGTCCCGGCAATAGCCACACATTATCCAGCAAACTGGTTAGGGTAATAGACAAACGAATAAGCTGGACGGCTTTGCCTCGAAAAAACGTCGCATTCCCTAAACTGATTCAAAGGGATATTTAAAGTTAACAAACCCACTGGGTTTGGTAATTTCCTGATTTTTTCATTCGCTTCGAATTACTTAATTTAAGTCATTTGATAATCAAACGTTTTAATTCTTTTCAAGTTGAATAAAAGTTGATAACGCTATCTATCGGATTACTCTCTATTCGGTGGATAGCGCAGTATGTTTTATTAACACTTATCCGCAGGATAACGATTTATCCGTTGGATAGCGCTATGGCCACCCTTTGATCAACAAGACCCAGGTGCATGAAATCACAATTTTTCGAGAGGTGCGTTCCTACCGACATATGTATCAGCACAGATAATTAAAAAAAAAAATATATATATATATATATATGTATTTTTTTTCTACACTCAAAACAAAACAAAGGAAATCAAATATAACATTTGATCAACAAGGAGCTAAAATTGATTGATCAGCAGAGAATAAAACACTAAGATATCGCCACACCTAGGGAGTTTGTTAGTTTTTCTTTTTTGGATTTTTAAGTTACTGCAATTAAAAAAGCAAAAGCACTTTTGCAGTTGTTTTAGCTTTAAATCAACACAAAAAACGCGAGAAGATAAATCGCCCTCTTGCTAACCTTTTTGGCAGGCTTTTCTTCGGCAACCAACTCTTAAATCTGTTAATTCTGATTTTTCTATCCTCTCCTTGTGACATTATTTTGAACCGTCATTTGTCATTTACTGTTCAGTTTCTACCAGTAGTTATGATGGACCTCTTCTTTTAAGGCAATCTCCTCCATCTTAGCGGGGGCTTTTATGCGTTCAGGTACATGCCTGTTGTTTCAGAGTAGGTCTTCAGATGGCTTGAGCTAATGTATGACTGGGAGTTCATAAATAAACCTCTCACAAGGTGACTAAGTGAAAACTGTTCAAACTGTTTTTCACCTCATGAATATCCCACACCATAACCTGGGGCATGAATAATCACCGCTTTTGACGATGCACTTCTGAGAGCGAGCATTTTGCACCTTCATCTCACGAACGAAATGAAAAAGAAAGAGAGAAAAAAAAACAGCCAAGCAATAAAAAGCATACTACGTTCATGACGAATGATCTTATAGCAACTAAAAAAATCTTTTGAAAGCCACGGCACCTCCCCTCAGTCTGTTACCGTCTTGATAAAGTTCCTTGGAAATGTTGCAAAGAAATGAATGGGGTATTCCATATTCTTTTTTTAACAGCCTTGAAATAATAACAAAAAACTTCATGTAAAAAGTTGAAAAACTTTTCAATAATTGCCGCACTGAATTTTTAATATCATTTTGCTCGATCAAACTTCCCCAGGGTAAACACAAACAAAAGATGCCATAATCTTTTCAAAATATTATCGTTTTTCTTGACAGAAAGATGCCAAGATAGAGTGTGCATAATTTATGAAACTGTTTGACATTAGCTGAAATACTTACCCACTGAAAAGCCAGAATGCATTTCAACTGAAAGCTTACGAGCATTAGCGAAGCGTACAAAACAGGCGCTGTCAAGGAATGGCTGCGTTCAGTGGTTCGATAAATAAAAAGAGAAATATCAGTAACACTGAAGCTGTTCGTTAAAAGTTAA